ATGTCATTTTTTCCCGCTAGCATTTTACTTTCTACGTTTCCACAAAAGTTTATTTCGAAAACTAAAGAAATGATTTCAGAATGTAAACAGTCGAGAGAGGATGTCTTGCGAGTATTTGAAACCTCCTGGGAATTTGCTAACGAATGTGTTGAAAAAAACTGGAAGATGCTAGTTAAGCGCGACTGTTAGGAATGACAGTGGAAAAATATTCTAAATCGGTAGGAGCACCTGTAGAATTAATATAGGTAAAACAAGAGCGACCCGATCGCCGAAATTACAACCAACCCAAACTGCAGCGAAACTGCAGGATAACTAATGTTTAATATCCACAACAGAATAGGTTGCATGGGGGTGACACGGGGAATGAATACAACTAAACGGGCGAGCAAAAAATAAATAAATAAATTAAAACAAAAAGATAGCCCGACAGAGTAGGGGGGGATTATCGAGAACGAAAGAGCGGCTGTGGGTGGTGTGTGTGGGAGGGTGCGGTTTGTGGGGCAGCACTGCCGGGGGTGGCGTCGCAGCAGCGGTGCCCCAGCCATAAACCGGCGCCATAAACGCCACCGCGTGGCCCATAAAGAGACGAGCGGCGAAAACCGCGCCGCGCTGTTGCAGATCTGCTGGAGGCTGCAGCAGGAGGGCGATGACGAGGAGTAGCGCTGCGACTTAAAAGGCATGGATGCCCTTCATTATACAAGGGTGAGTACCGCGACTTAAGGCTTCTACTCCATCAAACACTTTCTGACTTGGGAGTGAATTGACTTCCTCCGTCTCACATTTATCAAATAATCCTTAACGCCAGTGCATTTAGCCAATGCGCAGTTGAACCATATCGATGTTTTATTGATTCACTGCACTGGCGAATGAGATGAAAATGCATTTCAGTTTTTGATCCAAGTTATATAAGTAGATGAAAAGAAAATACGGGTTGTCCGATATTTCTTAGAAACAATTTTTTGCCAAGGAAAGATGAGTTTTATGTCCCATAGTCAGCTTACCATTTAAATTGGATTGGCGTCAGTCAATATTACGAACCTTGATGCATTAAACCTTATGCATGGACTATAACAACTGACTGTTTTAGGGTCATGTAGTTTCTTTACCACGTCTGTATTCATAAATAAAAATAATTCTTCCCCATGCGTTTTTATGAAGCAAAAACTGATAAATTTCTCTGTATATACAACATGATCTTACATCTCTGATATGAAAAACGACTGCCCGTTATTAGGTCAATTTCCGTGCAACATGTGCACGTTTCTTGTTTTGTTTGACGACAAATGAACAAACACAGAAAGCAAAGGAAGGCCCCGCAGACTTACTATTCTGTTTTAATTTGTTGAGTAACGCCCAACTGTTATTTTCAAATGTGTAACGAGTGGCATTGTTATTCGCTTTATAAACAGAAAGATATGAACATAAACTTTCTTTACTTAAATAAAAAATCGCACTAAAACTCGAAAATGAACATTCTTTGCAGTTATCCTCAAATATTTAATTTTCAAACTCGTAAGTCAACCCCAGCCAAATTGACGTGGATATTAGAAACTGTTTGACCTTTATAAATAATTTGCTCTTGACGATAAATACAAGCATTTCTAAAAAGTCAGCATCATCTTCTTTGATTCTAGTTTAATATTTTATTGTAATGTATTTATTGTATATATGGCATATCATACTTTGTAGAACAATGCATTGTTTATGGGACTGAAAAATTGTTAATGAATGCATGATTAATTTTTCTGTTTTTTTCTGCAAGATAAAACACAGACAAAGAAGTATAAGAAATGAAATTGCTTTATTCTTAATGTTCTATGATATTCTGTATATATTAATATATTCTGTAATTTTACAAATATAATTTTCAATCCAAATTAAGCAATTACACATACCATTACAAAAATTCAAAATAGAAATAAATTTGAAATAGATATATATATATATATATATATATATATTATATATATAATTATATATATATATATATATATATATATATATATACAAGAATTTCATTATCAATTTCAATTAATATTGAGCCATTGATGAAATCTAGATCTTGATTTTACCGAATTACGGTCGGTGCATATTCAAAAATGGATCCACCCATTCATCAGATCCATCACCATCACTGACACAATTAGGAAATTCTTTAACCCCAAAGGGAGTCGTTTTTGGACTCCTTTGAGAACCGCTGACTTGATCATTAACGCACGTACTGACAACCTTTCTTATTACTTGTATGCCTGCAGATGATTCGCAGAAAGAGTCCAACGCAAACTAACACAAGATATCATATATTTTCAAAATATTCAATTGAAATCGATTTCGATTGAACGACTGCATTATACAGTTATGTGCCCAGCACGAAATGAACGTAATTTTAGAATGTTCACGCAACAAATAATTCGCTTAAAAAAATTCTAAATTATTGCCCATGTGGACCTTTTATATACAAGTGCATAGAATATAAATTAGTTTCCTTAGTTCTTGATTTTCATTAACATTTTTTTTCAGAAAAAAATACTATTAACTTGTCAGGAAAACTAGCCAATAAATTAAAAGAACAAAAGGCATCCAAGAGAACCTACCTGCCAATAGTATTCTGTTTCTGAAAATTGTAATTTTGTGTCATTTTTAAACCAATGAATATGCTATTAGAGAAATTCCTATCTTGCAAAAAATAGCGACTTCCTTATTTATAATCATGGGACGAAAAGAGTTATTTTTTGCCAGGGCATACAGCAAAAATACCTAAAATTAGTTCACAAGTCAACAAAGTCGTGGAAAATGCTCATGTCACCAAGCAGAGTTTACCACAACAAGAAATTAAGTAGCTCAGTCTTCATTGTCGAATTTCACATATACATCTCGCGAGTAAAAAACTACAAAAAGATTTGAACGGGTCGTAATGCAGGTTTGCGGAAACTGGAATACAAATCAAACGTCCATCGTAGGATTATTAACAGATCATAATTTATTTTAAACAAGCGAAACCAGCCCTTCCTATTCAATCTTTAGAAAACATGCCAGATAGACAATGTCTATTAACCTTGTATTATACCACGTTCTTAATATATGTTTGCAAATAATCGATAAACCATACTTTGACGTGTTTTGTCAAGTCTATGTACAATTGTTGACAAATACTAAGAGAATAAAAAGTATACAACTAGTTTAACGCACATACCGGATTGCTTTCTTCGAGCATTTCCCATTGTAATAATATCTCTCGAAATCTTTGCATTTATTGTCTTGGAAATTGCGATACCTAAACAACATTAGAAAATTTTTGAAGCCCATGCATTCTGTTTGCAAACTGAAAGGTGATTCCATGACGAGCTTTGATTCTCGCTAAGGTTAACTTCTGAATAACAAATAGGAAGAGTTTTTAACCAATGTGAATCATTGGTAAAGATAAAGCAATTGGAACAGTTCTTGACATTTCAAACCAAATAAAAAATCTTAGTATTGTTACATTAGTAAACTAGACAGAAAAATATTTTATAACAAATTGTGACTGAGTAGTGACACCATAGTGTTACCTTTGTAGGATTTTAAATATTCATTGCGAATGTTGTTCTTGCCCAGTTTCTATGAACTAATGATTAACCCCTATCTAAAACCAAGTTCCGAGATTATCTATTTCTGTTGTCGTTCGCAAGCGTATCAGAGCAGATTTTAAGCATCGGTTGACAGAAACGTTCTGTTAAAACTATGCAATATCTCATCAAAAACAACATGGTAACAAGCCTGTTAATTTTGCTCTTATCCAATTGATCTCGTTTTGACCGGCTGATAGACTCACATAGCACTCATCAGTATTCATAAGCAATTTGCAAGTGCAGTTTTCAGGAATTCCCATCTGGCATAGCGGCGAAGTTTTTCAGCATTGCTGGGAAACAGTGTTCGGTGTCGATTCAACCGAACGAATTTCTCGTTATGTACAAGCAATCAGTCGGACTGCAATACGGCAGAACAAGAAACACAAACCGGTGTTTTCTTTTGGTTGTTATACGTTCGATCGGCGTCTCCTGTTTGACTTACAGGACGGAGGCGGACGGCGAGGCGTCGTACGGGTTGCGATTTCTTCTTCTCGTCCCTCTCCCTCTCTCCCTTTTTGCTGCTCTTCTCCCCCTGTTTTACTTCACATTCCCTGCTCACCCTGCTAAGAAAACAACTGCGCCAGTCATAAGAACGCTTACTGAAGGCGCCCCAAACAGTTGAAAAGATACAAGATTCGGGACGCGATATGCTATAAATCGTGAGTCTAAAGATTGTTTCGAATCTGTACTTTTTAATGTAAGATACGTGAAGTCCCTTGCAACACCTACTTTGAAATTGCTGTACAGTGCAATGCGGAACAATGCGGAAATATAAGGTACAATACATTGCAAAAAAATAAGATTCCATAATGTAGATACGTAAGAACCGACATTAAAGTTAAATCTACAAGGCATAACTTTTCCAACAATTTTTCTACTAAATAATACTCTTGTTTGCTTAAATGTAAGTCATCTCTCACTTCCGGAAGTAGCACACGTAATATATATATATATATAGTATACATATATATATATATATATATATATATATTATTATATATATATATGTAGTATATATATATTATTCTTGTATGAAATGTCTAACTAAGTACATTACATTAACTACGATCCACAAAATACCGCTTTAGCTAACATCAAGCTAACATCATGTCGTCTGAGAAATTATTGTAATTCA